TATAATTTGTAGTTTTGTGTAGTTAGGCCAAGTTTTTTTTTGGGTAGTTATTTGTATTATAACTACTACGTGCAGTCCTAACGAGCCAATTGCTCGTTAGTCCACCCCACCTTCCTGCGCCCCCTGTTTATGATTTTTAAGGATGGGCTGAGATCAAGCATTGTTTATGATTTTTGATGCAAGTTTTGATGCAAGCAAGTTTGATGCAAGAGTGATGCAAGTTTCAAGGGAAAGTGAGCGCGGGGGAGCTGCATACAAGGAAAATATATTGGGAACACTTCATCCTCCTCCATACATGATTTTTAATTTTTTTTTAATTTTGCCCCGAGGGGCGAGTTTATTGGGCAGCGCCACTCATCCTGTGAGTGGACACACCGCCATAGTGACAGTATTGGGCAGCGCCACTCATCTTGTGAGTGGACACACCGCCATTGTGACAGTGCGAAAAGAAGATTGTGAAGAAAAGAAGATTGTGCGAAAAAAACTAGTGGAGCATCTGGAGTGAAGGAACTTTGTAACACAGCATCAACATGGGTTCAGGGATGGCAGGTCCTGCCTCACAGGGTTACTTGAATTCTACGACCAGGCAACAAAAATAAGGCAAGAAAGAGAAGGGTGGGCAGACTGCATATTTTTGGATTGTCAGAAAGCCTTTGATACAGTGCCACACAAGAGGCTACTGCGAAAGTTGGAGATGCAGGCTGGAGTGAGAGGGAAGGTACTCCGGTGGATAGAGGAGTACCTAAGCAACAGGAGACAACGAGTCTGTGTGAGGGGTGAGGTCTCAGATTGGCGAGACGTCACAAGTGGAGTCCCGCAGGGGTCAGTCCTTGGACCTACACTGTTTCTGGTATATGTAAATGATCTCCCAGAGGGTATAGATTCGTTCCTCTCAATGTTTGCCGACGATGCAAAAATTATGAGGAGGATTGAAACAGAGGATGATAGTAGGAGGCTACAAGATGACCTGGATAGACTGAGTGAATGGTCCAACAAATGGCTGTTGAAGTTCAACCCGAGTAAATGCAAAGTAATGAAACTAGGCAGTGGAAACAGGAGGCCAGGCACAGGATACAGAATAGGAGATGAAGTACTTAATGAAACAGACAGAGAGAAAGATCTAGGAGTTGATATCACACCAAACCTGTCTCCTGAAGCCCACATAAAGAGAATAACGTCTGCGGCATATGCGAGGCTGGCTAACATCAGAACGGCGTTCAGGAACCTGTGTAAGGAATCATTCAGAATCTTGTACACCACATATGTAAGACCAATCCTGGAGTATGCGGCCCCAGCATGGAGCCCGTACCTTGTCAAGCACAAGACGAAGCTGGAAAAAGTCCAAAGGTATGCTACTAGACTAGTCCCAGAACTAAGAGGCATGAGTTATGAGGAAAGGCTGCGGGAAATGCACCTTACGACACTGGAAGACAGAAGAGTAAGGGGGGACATGATCACAACCTACAAAATCCTCAGGGGAATCGACCGGGTAAACAAGGATGAACTATTCAACACTGGTGGGACGCGAACAAGGGGACACAGGTGGAAGCTGAGTACCCAAATGAGCCACAGAGACGTTAGAAAGAACTTTTTCAGTGTCAGAGTAGTTAGTAAATGGAATGCATTAGGAAGTGATGTGGTGGAGGCTGACTCCATACACAGTTTCAAATGTAGATATGATAGAGCCCAATAGGCTCAGGAATCTGTACACCAGTTGATTGACGGTTGAGAGGCGGGACCAAAGAGCCAGAGCTCAACCCCCGCAAGCACAATTAGGTGAGCACAGTATTGGGCAGCGCCACTCATCCTGTGAGTGGACACACCGCCATAGTGACAGTATTGGGCAGCGCCACTCATCCTGTGAGTGGACACACCGCCATAGTGACAGTATTGGGCAGCATCACTCATCCTGTGAGTGGACACACCGCCATAATGACAGTATTGGGCAGCGCCACTCATCCTGTGAGTGGACACACTGCCATAGCAGCATGTACAACACTCCCCAATAGGAAGAAAACCCGCTGGGTTGTTCATCCTGTCACTTGTACCCAGACACAGCTGGGACTTGCTCATACATGATGTTACTCTTTTCCTCTTAAATCTATTTATCTCGTCATTCAAGAACCTGCTGTTGCACTTGAACTTAATGTTATTTTCTATATGGCTGTGAATAGGTTAGTTAAGCTGGCTACTTTAATTTTATAACAATGTATTTTAAAAACGCACTATGTATACTCCACGCAGCCAAGATACATAGTTTGAACAAGGGAGGTTGAGAAATGTAAGGACACGATACATAAACTTGAGGAGGGCAAGAATTATCAAAGACATAATCTAAAGATGTCGAGAAGCCTAATGTGGCCAGACTTTGGTGTGAAGGTCAGCTTGTCTCCAGTATAGCGATGTGTGTGTACATCACCTCTGATGTCTCCAGTATAGCGATGTGTGTGTACATCACCTCTGATGTCTCTAGTATAGCGATGTGTGTGTACATCACCTCTGATGTCTACCTGACATCCCGCCTTGATCAATGATCCGACTGGCAGAGGCTAGCTTACTCCAGGACCAAAATATATTCATGTTTAATTTTTGTATGTGAGGCTGGTACCTGTAGCTTCTTTTATGGTGCTGCGAACACCTGCGGTGGAGTGTTACATTGTAACGTAAATTATACTTATTAATCTTGGCGTTTTTATATTATCATAAGTTATCATTTGCTGAATTGGCAGCCACATGTTTCATTTGTGTGTCTAGAATTGGTCAATACACTTTAGCACTTAATGTAATGTAGTAAATGTACACTTTAGCACTTAATGTAATGTAGTAAATGTACACTTTAGCACTTAATGTAATGTAGTAAATGTACACTTTAGCACTTAATGTAGTAAATGAAACACTGGCGCTGCACTTGGTAAATCATTCGTGATGTTAAAATTTTTTTAAGATTTATGCAATATGTATAAATCAATATTATATACCAATGATAAATAGCCTCGCCATATGTAAAATATTAGTAATACTAGTTGTGACACATTCAATTTCTTTACAATTTTTCTTTGTTATGCACCCCATACCCTTCCCGTGGGCGGTGGTGGGAAGGGTTACAGAGGCACATAATGGGTTTAGGAACTGAACCCCATAGTTCGTATGACTAAGCAAGTGACAATCTTGTGAAGCTAGTTAAACAATTGTTAATGTTGCAAACACATACATACATATATATATATATATATATATATATATATATATATATATATATATATATATATATATATATATATATATATATATATATATATATATATAATAATTTCATTTACACAAATACATATTGACCAGACCACACACTAGAAGGTGAAGGGACGACGACGTTTCGGTCCGTCCTGGACCATTCTCAAGTCGATTGATTCTCAATCGATTTGAGAATGGTCCAGGACGGACCGAAACGTCGTCGTCCCTTCACCTTCTAGTGTGTGGTCTGGTCACAGCTCGTCCTCCAAACAAAGATCCAAAAGTGATTCCATGCACCCGCCAAACCCCCTGCTTATGAATGAAAAGCGGTTTACACACGACTCACAACTGCTGACGTTCGAACACTTCCGGAACAAGTGTTTCACTGACGAATTTTGTTCGAACCACAACGCTGTAAATGCTTCACCCACGTACTACAAATACAAATAATCGCCAACAGAACCTAAACACCTAACTTAACCTATCCTATGCCTATATATGCACAATATGCTAATATATTATAATATTAATTTATACTTGAGAAAATTCCCGTTTTGAATGAACAGCATATTAAAATTTATGAATGCGTCTGTGGGGTTGACCGCTGAATGTAATGGACTTGAGTCGAGGACGGGTTGCTGGTCAACATACTTCAACCACGTTATTGTGACTCATCGCCTACACAAATACATATATTTACACATACATATACATAATCTTTTTTATATCAAAAGTGATTGAACAAGAGGCTCACAATTCACTATACAAGGCACTTTACATCTTTTAGTGAGTCACAGTTACTAATCTTGCTCCACACCCACCCAACTGGGCGACAGCTTTAGTCATGTGCAGGCTGCACTTATAGTAAGCAAATTTTTTAATACTTCGCTAAGATTCCTGGCAGTAAATCATTATGAATGAAGTACTTACACATTTCTTGGATTCCATTAATGGTGTTATCTCTGAATTCCGCGATTTTTTTCACAATCCGTTATATAATGACGCAAAGTATGTGAATAGTTCTGCTGACAGAGTTCACATTTAGTCAAATCTACATCAGAAGATTTTACAAACTCCCAGAGGTACTTGTAGCCGAGCCTAAACCTAACAGTGGTAACGTCTAGAAGTTTGCTAACCTTATTGGATGACCCATAGACGTGTGGTTTTTTCCTGCATAATAGCATGATAGATGGAGTAACTGGTGAAATTTCACTTTGCCTCAAGTCTACGAGATTTTGTCGATGTTCCCGGAATATTACTGCCCTCTGACTGCTCAAGGGTAGTCCAAAATGGTAATCAATTTCCCCTTTGAACAAAAGTTTTGGTTAACTGATCAGTTCTATCATGCATTCAGAGACCAATATGGGAAGGAATCCTAGCTGTGACCTATGCCACCAGTGTTTCCTGTGACCACCAAGCCCGCGCACGCTATCTTCACACGTGAGAAAATCCTCTGGTGATAGCAGATCACCTCAAAATAAAATGTATTAGTGACAATAAGAAACCAACTGGTTATCTTATTGTGTAGAGAGAAGGGAGTGTTGTACACGCTGGTATGGCGGTACCTTATGTTCACTCTCGATGAATCACGCTCCACAATAAACTTGTCCTTAGGAGCAAAATTAAAAGCAGAAATCTAAACTGGTTGAAAGGGTTGGAGGTGGTGTTGACAGTCACCTGATGAGGCACCTGCGGGCTTGTTTGTTTACGTCGGTTAGAGAGCGGCGCACATGTGCGTGCTGGGGGCGGGCAGCGTCACGGCCCTCGCCCCAGTCAGTTGGCAACTCGCAGGCGGCAGTGCGAGACGTGCGCTGTCCCCGCTCGTCCCGGTAGGCCATACTGGTACTGCAATACTTGGCAGGCTTTTTCCGGCCCTCTGTTCTGTAGGCTCCGGTAGAGCCGACCAGGTCCTGGCTAGCTGGCATGGAGAGCAACTGGGTCTAGTCCATGATGTCGGATGGTATTTTGATGCCTCAGCGTCTTGTGTTAGGCTGTCTTGATGTCTAACATTGAGCCTGTAGACATCAGCTCCTACCACTTCTCATCAGTAGAAGCTAGACTCATTAAAAACTTTAAAAGAAAATCCATCCTGAACTAATGTGTATGATCTATGAACCTGCAATGACATTCGTTAACTAAATATTTCAAGTGATTTGATCTTGACTCTTGATTCTAATCTTGATTCAGAGAGAGATAAGTTGTAGATTCTCCAGTGCCAGGCCCCAGGCAGGGAGAGTGCCGTGTTGACAGTGCCGTGACGTGCCTGTGCCACGTGCCCAACCTGACTGCGTGCCACGTGAAGCTTGTATAAGCCTATCCCACGCTAGCTGACGTCATCCGTAATCACGCCTTCACCATGATGCTGGCCACGTATTTTGATCAGGTGAGTTCCCGGGAGACTTTTCCTGGTTCATAATGTAGGCGAGGGTAACTTTAACAGTAATGTTGCACTGTGTTACCCCACAGTACGCTTGTACGGAAATTAAATGCCGTCCTGGTTTTGTGCATGACGCTCCCAGCATTCTTTTTGCCCTGTGTAGTTGGCAAATAATTTCCGGAAATTTACTGGACTTTAGTCACTGGGGGTTAAGCTACAGGTATCAGAGCGTATGGAGGTTCCTTGTGTTTCCGGAAAGTGTAGTGTAATTGTGTTACATAAGCTGCTGGTGTTTCTTGCACGCTAACATACCTCTTCCCCCCTCCCCCCCCCCAAAAAAAATACTGACGTACCTACTCTCATTTGAGCCTCCCCCCTTCCCACGAAACGGAGTGACCTTCAACAAGCCGCCGGCCTCCTGTCCTCGTCGAGGCCAATAATGTCAATGGCCTCCAGGTAAATATTGGGTTGTGAGCCAGCTAATCAGCGTGTCATTATTCCTGTCTTGAGTGTCCGACTGGGGTTGACGTTTCACATTCGGGATGATGTCGAGGCGGTCCTCTCGTAGCCTGGGCCCTCTCGTAGCCTGGGCCCTCTCGTAGCCTGGGCCCTCTCGTAGCCTCGGCCCTCTCGTAGCCTGGGCCCTCTCGTAGCCTCGGCCCTCTCGTAGCCTCGGCCCTCTCGTAGCCTGGGCCCTCTCGTAGCCTCGGCCCTCTCGTAGGCGAGGTAAAAGTAGTAATAACTTTATTTTTCCACCGTTATACCTAGTCAGTAGAAAGGGAAAAAATCAGGTGTACTAAATGTTGGCACATTTCCACAGACGCTTTAAGGATAGTAAATTTGTCAGGATGCTAGAGAGAGGATCAGGCCTGAATGCCTAAAGTTCCAGCGCCTGAGCCTAGGCCTTAATATCTAAAGGATTAATTGGATGATTTGTGTTAATAAATGTTAAGGCATTTACATGCGCAAATTTGTCAATTATAGTAATCTTAGTGAATGATATTCAACTTATGGCATACAATAACAATGAGCATTGATTAATGTATAACTTAAAAATAAATGTTACAAGCGTTCAGTCAGCCTCGGCCAGAAGTGGTCATCCACGGGGCAATTTTCGCTTTAGTGGCGAAGTTTAGGGTTTCAAGAGTGGGGGGGGGGGGGGGATGGCGTGCCGCAGACTCGAACTGTTGTAATATTGCTCCTTCTACACTACAGTTTTACAGACTGTACCTAAACTACAGGACATCACACCATATTATTTCGTATTGTTATAAAGATGAATATTTAACTTTTTATACGAGGCAATATTGGAGTGCAACTTTTGAGTCTTGACAAACTCGGAAGGGGTGACAGCCTGACGCCTAGTGAGGGTGTATAGGAGGGGGACAAAAGAAATATATAGAGAAGCACTGAACTAGAGATATATAATACAAAAACAGGATTGTCCCCTTGACCAATGAGCGATGTGCTCGCTAAATCGTGACTAGGCTACGCACCTTTGACTGGCCAATAAGGCTTCAGATAATGGTAAACTGGAGAGTATATAGTGTGTGTGTGTGTGTGTTCTTTCTGTAAGGTTAGCAAGTTACACACCGTGTGAGAAGAAACTACTTTCACTACCACACTGTTTCACAACTCTGAACGGGGTCCGCACCTACATGCGGCTCTGTAGGGGGTTGGTCCGGGACCTGAGGGGTGTGTGTACCCCCTCTCCGTCATCGCTACGATTTAAACGAAGCATATCTATCCTAACCCATCTCGTCCCAACATAATGAAAACGAGATAATGTTTTTTTTATGTGAGGCGTGACGTCACTCACGTCCTAATCGTATTTTAGATGTCATTGGCTCGCTGCGGAAGGTCCAGACATTGGGCAGCAGTGCTGATGGGACAACCTGTTCTCAGAGTCCGTTCCATCCAGCGGTCGACCCCAAAGATGGATTCATGCATTTTAACATGCTATTCATTTAAAATGAATTTTTACAAATATAAATTAATATTATTATTTATTAGCATACTGTGCATATTTAGAAACTGGTTAGGTGTCTAGGTTCTGTTGGCGATTATTTGTATTTGTAGTACGTGGGTGAAGCATTTACAGCGTTGTGGTTCGAACAAAAGTCGTCAGCGAAGTACTTGTTCCGGAAGTGTTCGGACGTCATCAGTTGAGTGTCGAGTGGAAACCGTTTTTCATTCATAAACAGGGGGTTTGGCGGGTGCATGGAATGGACTTTGGCTTTTGTTTGAGGATGGATGGAGGCTGGATGGAGAGTCCAGAGGTGGGGGTATGATCCCATCGCACGGCTTCATGATACAAGTTGTCACGACCGTTGTACAAAATGACGATTGCGACTCTTGTGCTTTGGACATGGGAGCCACCACCTCCACCACCCACAGGATGGACATGGGAGCCACCACCACCCACAGGATGGACATGGGAGCCACCACCACCCACAGGATGGACATGGGAGCCACCACCACCCACAGGATGGACATGGGAGCCACCACCACCCACAGGATGGACATGGGAGCCACCACCACCCACAGGATGGACATGGGAGCCACCACCACCCACAGGATGGACATGGGAGCCACCACCACCCACAGGATGGACATGGGAGCCACCACCACCCACAGGATGGACATGGGAGCCACCACCACCCACAGGATGGACATGGGAGCCACCACCACCCACAGGATGGACATGGGAGCCACCACCACCCACAGGATGGACATGGGAGCCACCACCACCCACAGGATGGACATGGGAGCCACCACCACCACCGAACCGCCATTGAAACCTTGCAACAAGAACACATATGTGATAACATACATCTGATCACAAATGTCATATCATTAATGCAAACACTCAAACGACAAGGCCGTCGGGTACTTATCAACTGGGTGCCAAGTCATGTGGGAATAATAGGAAATGACATTGCAAACGAAGCTGCAAAACTTGCAACTAAGAGAAGAAATGTAGACATTTACATACCACAGAGTCTATCACAGATTAAGAAAGTAATTAGAAACAGAGCAATGCAAAAGATGTACAGGTGACCACAACACAGCAGTTGCAACATCAGGATCTGCGGGTTGGTACAAGAATTCAACCAACTACGAGCCACTTAGTTTGATGAAAGGGAGCAGTAGAACAACAGAAGTACACTTACATGCATCAGGCTTGGATACCCATGTGCATGGGAAATAGGCTTACAGGTTCCGGAAGATGAGAGGAAATGTCAGCACTGTGGAGAAATGCCCAACAGACCACTGGAACATTATTTAACACAGTGCACAGTTACAAACCCATTAAGATTTCAACTTAGATTCAACAGAGCAGAAGTTGCTGTTAAACACACATGGCAAAATCTTACTGAAGCGACCATACGAGTCATAAATACTTATACTCCGCAAAGTAAAACAGAAACAAGCAACACTTAGTGGGCCAGCGAGAGGCTTAGGGCCCGCGCAGGAATATCCCTGGAAAAAAAACCACCACCACCTCGGTGGTGGCCTCGTAGCCTGGTGGATAGCGTGCAGGACTCTTAATTCTGTGGCGCGGGTTCGATTCCCGCACGAGGCAGAAACAAATGGGCAAAAGTTTCTTTCACCCTGAACGCCCCTGTTACCTAGCAGTAAATAGGTACCTGGGAGTTAGTCAGCTGTCACGGCCTGCTTCCTGGGGGCGGAGGCCTGGTCGAGGACCGGGCCGCGGGGACACTAAAGCCCCGAAATCATCTCAAGATAACCTCAAGATCAAGAGATAACCACCACCCACATGATGGACATGGGAGCCACCACCACCACCCACTGGATGGACATGGGAGCCACCACCACCACCCACAGTATGGTAGTGGGTGCATAATAAACTAACTAAATCGAACACTTAAGGAGTTCTGATTGCGTAACAAAATCAACAAATTAAGCGTTGGCGTTTCGACATATGACCATGCAGTCTCCGCTGGTTCGACCCCCTGGAACAATAATAATCTTGGATTGCTGAGTTTCGTAGCTCATAAACTGCTTAATAAACAAACTACGCAGCCAAGATTGATGAAAGATGTACAGGTTTCGTAAATGGACACGTAAATAGTATGGTTGATCTATGGAACAAGTTATCGGGTAACATAATTGACGTGGAATCACATGATTGTTTCAAGCGTAGGTTAGACACATATTCGGTTGGATATATATATATATAGGAGTTACCTCGTATAGGTCAATATGCTTTTTGCAGGTTCCCTTGTTATGTTCTTAAGCAGCACCATCCATCTCTTGTGTTTATGGTGTCTAAAAGTGCAGTGTTGGGAGGATGAGCGCTGGAGGTAGGGAGGACACTAAGTTATAACACTACCCACTCCTGCACCCGGAGCTGTGTGTGTTAATATGCTGGACTCGTGCTTGTGGCTTGGTGTGTGGTGGTGGTGGTGGTGGGTGAGGCTGGTGGTGTGGTGGTGGGTGAGGCTGGTGGTGTGTGGTGCTGGTGGTGTGTGGTGGTGGTGGTGGTGGGTGAGGCTGGTGGTGTGTGGTGGTGGTGGTGGGTGAGGCTGGTGGTGTGTGGTGGTGGTGGTGGGTGAGGCTGGTGGTGGTGGTGGTGGGTGAGGCTGGTGGTGTGTGGTGGGTGAGGCTGGTGGTGGTGGGTGAGGTTGGTGGTGATTCGGTGTGGTGGTGGGTGAGGCTGGTCCCCGGCACAGCAGATCATGCTGTGTGGTGAGGCAAGGTTCTTGTGGGATAGAGATGCAACAAATAGTAATGATAGGTTATCTCTCACGCCCTCAGATGTACCGTGTGTGTGGAGATAGTGTTGGGGGTGTGGGGGAGTGGGTCTGGGGTGTGTACGGGGGAAGTACTCCCCGCTACTACTCGCCACTACACTCCATGGTGGGGGGGGGGGGGCGGGTGCTTGCAATAAGACGAACTTGAGGTGCAGTAACATTCATTCCCTCTTCATTTCTTCCATCTCACCCTCCTCTCTAGACCCGCGGGTACTCCCTACACACCCT